CCTTCCTTCCCCGCTCCCCATCGCCCTCACGCCGCCAGCCCAAGGGAGCGCCTCCCGGTACCTTCCACGTGCCCAGCCCCAGGATGGGCATCTTGGCCCCGGTGTTGAGCTGCACGTAGCTCGCCATGGCCGCGCCAGCAGCACCACGGCGGTTACGGCCGAACCCCGCGCCTTTAATAGCGAGCGGGGCCGGGCCCGCCCCGCCCGGGGCTCTCGGGGCGGCGCCGAGCCCGGGGCCGCGGCCGGCGTGCGGAGCAGGCCGCGATTGCAGCTCCGTGCTGGGGGATCGGCCCGCAGCCCCCGGGCTGTGCTCACCGCACACGGACAGTCCCGCAGCGCCTCATCCCCGGGGCGGGGGTGACACAGGGGACGTGGGACACAACTGTCCCCGCGGCCCAAGGGCTGAGGCACGCTGAGCGCCGTGTCCCCGCCACAGGGAGGGTGGGCCCGGCTGGTCCCCCTTGCCGGAGTCTTGTGGCCCTGTGTGCTGATGCGGCGACACGACAGCAAAAAACCACGGTGTGCCTGGTTTCTGAGAGCCAGGAGAAGCTGTTCCTGCGCCAAGTGGGACAAACGCAGCTTCCACTGAGAGCTGTGGCTTAGGAGTAATTTAGGGTAGAGTGAATCTAAGAAAACCTCAGCTTTATTTTGAATTTTGGAAGAGTTTTTTTTGAAAGTCTCAGAAGAGGAACAGTGAGTTTTTAACGAGTGACATAAATGATCACGTTGTCCCTCTGTCTTTGGGGAGGTGCTGAGGACATTGCAGAATAAAATGCTCGATTGTAATCACAGGCAGCAGTGGCCAGCAGTCTCCCATCACAAACTGGCTTTGATGCTTTTGCAGACAAGCATTCGCTGTTCTGCTGAAGACGTCACAGCGCAATGGAAAAACCCAGACCTGCCTGGGAGGCTTTGCTGCTTATTCACATGTGAAGAGTTTCTTCAGGTGCGAGCGTTTGCTCTGGGTGCCTCTCCCTGCTATCTGCAGCTTCATATTTTTTGCTCCATTTAGCTGAGGACGGCAAGGTAATTGGTTTTCCTCTTTAATGTTCCTCCTGTTTCATGTCAGCACCATCAGGCACCCCTGGCAGGATGCGATGTGCTTTCACTTGGATCGCAAAACCTTTACACAGCTTGGTGCTTATCTCTTGCCGCTTGGGTTGAATTTTCCCTCGTGGTTTCAAGTCAGAGAGATGCCTCCATCCTGTCACAAAAGAATTCAGGCAGAAGTTGTGTATTTTGTTTTTGCTCTTAGCTCTTGGCAGCTGGAGTCTTTCCCCTCAGAGCTGCAAGGCCAGTCAGCTTTCCGCTGTTTCCCTCTCCTGAAGGTCTGGTGGGGGCCTTGGGGAAGAAGAAGTACCGCACGTGTCACCCTGTGACAGCCAGCCTGCTAAGTGTTGTGCCCTGTGTCCTTGATAGCATGGCCATGTCTTTGCAGAGAGCGCTGAGGAACTGCAAGGGGGAGGAGGGTCTTGCTGCCACGTGCACTGGAACAGGAGGAGTAGTCTCATGAGTTTTCAGTGTGTTTTGCTGACTTTGCATTTAGTAACTGTAATTGCACCACAAGTTGTGACTCTGGTGACCAGCAGTGTTTGGAATCTGAGAACAGGGCCCAAAATAAGGGAAGTGGGTATGTCCTTATGGACAGCCTTTGCCACAGAGACCCACTGAGAACACATGAAGGCAAAGTAGGGAGGTGACAGTGTTGCAAGGTGTGATCATATCTACAATGAAGGGGAGGAGCTGCAGGGGTCTGCAGCTTCAGAGCTACCCACAGACACAGGCATAGCTTAAACCAGTGTTTGGAGGTGAGGGCGTGCAGGTTTCACGCTTGAATCACTGGGAAGCACAGCAGGAATTTCTGCTTTGCTTGGAAGGGAGATTTATCTTGCTCAGTGGGGGGTTCCAGTTCCATCTCTGGATGCCAGGAGGCAGATCTCAGGGGCTTGGCCAGCTCTGACTGTGGAAGACCTCGACCTCTTTTACACTCTGAGCTCATATCAGCCCAGGAGCATACCTTGGTGGATCTCCCATATTCTCAGAGCTGATTATGCTTTTTGTCCTTATGCTTTTGTCCTTTAATCTCACCTGCTGAAATAACAAGCTCCAGGCACAGCCAAGGGTGAGGAAGTGATCTTTCCACCCCTCTGTGGTGATTATTGTGTGGGAAGGGCAGGTTTAGTGCAGCAGGAGAAGCCTGGACAGGGGGAAACTATGAACTGCCCCAGACTGGTCAGAACTGATTCTGGCAGGCTCTGAAACTGGTGCTGTGCCTGGGGTGACCGAATTCTGGGAGATGGGAAGCACCTGTTTGTCCCCCACAGTCCCCCTGGCCACTGAGAAGAAGGGCAGCACCTCACTCCAAAGGGGGCTCCTGTGGGCTGGGCCACCCCTGCTGGGCAGGACAGTGGCAGCCCTGGGGACAGCAGGCTGCCCACCCAGGAGCTCTAGGACACAGTAAGCAGGACTGAGTGATGAAAGGAAGCATCAGGCACCCAGCATCACCCTCTTGGTTCCAGGGAGGGACTGGGATGGCCTGGATGTAATCTGTGGTGACAAAAAGGGTGGAGAGGAGGACAGGGAATGGATTGCTATTTGGCTTAAACAGAGGGTGGGGAAGGGGGAAAAAGGCATTTGCTCGTTTGTTCTGTGTTATTTCTTCTCTCCTCAGTTACCTGAGTCACAGCCCAGAAGTGGAGTAGTGAGAAGAACTCTGGAAGGAGCACTGATCCTGGCCCTGGGAATACACTGTTGTGGAAGTGGAGCAGCCAGTGCATGTCCAGGGGTGTACACACAGTGTGCAATTGCCTGAAGAGAGGAGGCACCTGGGCAGACCAGTGCTGGGTAGAAAGATGACTTGGAAGAGAGAAACAGATGCTTTCTGAAAGCTGATGGCAAAGTGAAAACAAAGCCTCTTCAGGCAGCCCGAGCTGCAAGGTTAGGTAGGCCTGTGGAGGTGGGAGTGCTGCTCCCCAGAATCTGAGTGCTCTCTTGACAGTCCTCTGCTCAGAATGAAACTGCAGAAATATTGAACTGTCCCTGCAGTGGCCATGTCCATGCTTGGAAACTGAAGCAAATGGGATGCAGGTTTTTGCCTTGTAAGAGCAGAGTTCTGGGAAATTTGGGGGTCTCTGCTACTAGCAGGCACTGTCCTTCCCAAGGGAGGAAGCCTTTAGGACCCACCAGTGAAGGACTGTGAGGAGAAATCATCTGATTCTGCTGATCCCACAGGTGAGACTTCCCTGCAGTTGCTTGGACTGCTGGGTTGTGTTTACAGGCAAGGGGGAAGGGACCCTGAAAAGGTGGTGATCACTGATGCTGTTGCCTGAAAGCTGCAAGGTCTGAGCACAGTTACTGCTGGTATCACTTGGTAAGCTCTTGGGACATCAAGGAGTAACACACATACCTTGTTCTGGTGCATGCCAGAAGATGGGCAGACTAGTGGCATGACCAAGGATAGTGCTGGGAGTTCTGCTTGGAAAGCACTTTAGAAGTGGTTGGAAAATATGTTGACTGTTGCAGTGTTGATGCTGATAATTTTGTCTGTGGGAGAAGGGGTGGGTTTGGGATATGTGTCTTACATTTGCACTGGTGAAGTGTTAACTACACTGGTCTGCAGGGACAAGGGGTGGAGTTCATAATGAATACGCAGTCAGATGATGACTATGGTAAAGATGGAGTTTGAATAAGGGTGAAACAATTCCTAACATATCTTTCAATAAAGTGCAGGGTGGAATGTAAAGAACATAAATTGCAGATGGTATCAAGGGATGGCAGTGGAGACCTCTAAAACAGATATAAACACCCTGTCCCATGCCAGAATTTAAGCTCACACTACAGTGACTCAGAAATACTTCTGGAGACAGAGATGCGCTTTTTGAAGGAGATCCATGCTGAAAGTCCCTTGGACTTAATTCCAAGGGGACTGCAGCTGTTGGGTGAGCTATGCTTGAACAAGGAAACCACTGAAGGCTCTATGGGCACTGGGTAACCCATGCTGGAGAAGGTTATTCTCTAAAAAGACAGTGCTCCAAACTTCTTCATCATAGTAACATTGTACCTTTATTGTTCAATAAAAATGTGCATCTGATCTCAGTAGAGCTAAGTCTCACCTCAGCCTGGGGATTACAGGTTTTATGGATTGCTGCCTTTAGGAAGCTGCAAAGCAAACATTCTTGGATTACATTTTCATGAATTGAAAGTGGAAAATTTGTTAAGAAGTCCTTAAGGTGCTCATTTTCTTCACCCAAGGTTTTGATCTTTTGCCTTGAAACCCAGTGCGCAACTTCACGATGTGTTTGGCCGCCTGCCCAGGCGTTGGGACCGGAAAGGTGACACAGCCCCAAAAGCAAATAGCTCCTGATGTCACCTGGGGCTGTGGGGCCAAGGGCAGTGGCAGATGGTGGCTGGGCTGAAGGGGAGGTGGATGGAGCCAGAGGGGCATTGGGTGCCGGGAGAATTTGGCTGACAGGGCCAGAGGGGATGCTGGCACTTTGGGGGCTGAGCTCCCCATGCCAGCAGCCAGACCCCGAGCTGTGTGACATCAGGGACATCCCTGCCGGCAGGGGACAGCTCGGGTGGCTGAGGGATGGCCGCCCTCTGCTGCCCGCAGGGAAAGGGGAATGTGCCCTGTCCCAAGGAGAAGCCACAAGCTCAGGAGGAAACCTGGCTGAGAAAACACACAGGTGCGTGGTCGGCAGTATTCTGCTTATGGAGTTGGTTTTTGATTTTTTTTTTCCTAAGTAGGAAAATCTCCTTTCTCAGTTACTCCTGGAGTGATTAAACTGCTGTCCTTTAGTTCACATTTCTCAGATTTTTCTCCCATAACTGCCAACTATCCTCCTCAGCCTGTTGTGTTGAAACAAGAGAAATAAAAAATGGGATTGTGTAGTTCAAAGTCTCTCCCTCGCTCAATGTGGATTACCCAATCCACATTTTGACAGAAAATTATTACAGCCATTTTATTATTTTGGAGCAACTTTACTGTTTCTTTCAGATAGAATAAACAAAAGATGATCACTGAATACATATGCTGTGATTTCACTGGCTGCAGGAGGAGAAATGCAATAAGAAAGTCAGAGAAATTGATAGGAAGGGTATCAGACCAAGCTCTGAAGGAGGGCAGGATATGAGCATCTTCAGTATTCTGCATTGAATGGGTAGTCCTTGTGAGTTTTGCCCCTGCAGGGAATAGAAGACTTCCTTTTAGTCATAATTTTCCTTTCTAGTTTCGCTTAAAGAAGCCACCAAGGTGGGATCTGGACTCTGTAATTGAAGGATGGGTTCAGTCCAGATTTGTTTTCCTCTATAGTATGTCTTTTTTGTGTACTTGCAACATCGCAATTACTTCATCATTCAGGCTCTTGGCATTCTAGGCAGTATTTAGATGTAAAACCTCTGAGTATGTAGTATTTTTAACTTATGGGTTTGGAGAAGAATACTGAATGCTACCACTTACATGCTCATTGTATAGACTCTCCAGTTTCTGTTAAAGCTGAAAATAGTTGCCATCTCCTCTTTGGTCAATTTGAAGTCAAACACCTGAAAAGAGAAACAGCTTGGAATCACTTCTTTGAATAAACCAGAGGCTGTAAGCAAAATCCACATGAATAAAGAACAAGTCTGCAAGGGAGGGTAGCTGGTTAGAAGACATGACTGCTTCATGAAAAAGGCATCTCTGTATCACCAGGAATGCACTGGCAGAGGGAATAGAAAAATTAATCCAAAGTTACAATTACACATGCCAGCTGTTGCAGGGCACTTGGCAGGGTCTTGCATCTGCCACTTGTGAGAGATGCATCTTTCTGTCCTATTCCAAAGGCACATCTACAAGATTTCCATGTGTCATTTAATCTGTCTAGGCTTTTTGAAATCCCAATGACCAGTTGCAGTCAAAGACCACTGAATTAACAATAGGCAGCATGGTTTGTTAAACAAACAACTGTTTTCTTAATGCTGCTTGCTCTACATAAGCCTTTTGTGGTGTGCTGCTGCACTCAAGTGCCAGGGAAAAAACATGTGGCAATTCATCTCCAGTCTGCAGAATACAAGACACCACAGAAAGTGGCTGCTAGAATTATCTGCATAATTAAAAAGACTTGGTTCATTCCTGCTCTCCAAGTGTACTCTTAAGTTTAGCCCTTAGCAAAGTGTGTAAACAGACTAAAAGCCTGGTGTTCTTGCCTGAGCAGGGAAGAATGATAAAGGATCTTTTCCCTTGCCAAGCCATCCCTGAGGGGCAGCCCCTGCTCACTCCTGATCCCTCACCTTGAAGTTCTCTACAATGCGCTGTGGGGTGACGGATTTGGGAATCACAGCCACATTTCTCTGGATCTGGAAGCGAAGGAGAACCTGCAAGGACAGACATCTGAATCATTCCTCTAGCTCTGGAGGAAGCAGAGCTGTTCCAACAGCTGTTATCCCTGTTTCCAATCATTCCTGTCCCTGCAGCCCTGGTTGTCTGTGCAATAATACAGAACCCAGTGCAAAACAACTAAATAACTATTTAGTGCAATACAACACTGCCTGAAGAGCAGAGAGGGAAGTGGTGGAGCCTCACAGGAAAGGTCTCCTTTCCCATCCAGGTTTGGGCTAGTCAAGCCTTCCTGCTTCCCAGACTTCTATCAATATTTCATTCTCTGCAAGAGGACTTGAGGTGAAGACTCAAACATTCCAGCACTTGAAGCCAGGACAAGAAAATGTTTCATGATGATAGTCAGAGCACACCTGAGGAGTGTGCATTGCAGACCTCACAGAAAACAGACCCTGCACTGCTGACAAAGAGCCAGCCTGTCCTCTCCATTGTCAATAGCTCTCCTGTGTTACAGGAAGAGGTACCCACAGTCTGGCATCCACGTACCTGGGCTGTGGATTTGTTGTGTTTGGCTGCAATTTCCTTGATCTTGGGGTCATCCAGAAGGGAAGGATCCTCTGGCTTAGCCCTACACAGTGGAGAGATAAGAGCAGAAGTCTGTTTTGAGATCAATGGCTAATAGTACAGTCAGTGTCTCAGTGCTCCAAGCGTTATCCATGCCAGCTCCCTCACAAATTGCAAAGCAGCCTTACCACGGTCTGTCAGGAGAGCCAAGGGGGCTGTATGCTGTCACAGCAATCCCTTTGGATTGGCAGTAGTTCACCAGCTTCTCCTGGGTGAGGTATGGATTGCATTCAATCTGCCAGCAGAAGAGTACAGAGACTGATAGAATCCAGCTGTAACTCACTGCAGGGATTAGCTCCTAATGCTCTTAAAGGCTGCTCTTTGTCCTCATGGGCCTCTCTTTGCAAAGTATTATTCACCTGCTTCTACAGTGACATTTCTTGTACCTCTAGGTCTTTGCTCTGGGGAAGGAGCATTTCATAAGGCTCACCTCTGGGTTCTTTGGCATGTTCTGAGGGCCTCCTCAGATTTCTAAGCAGTTGCTTAGCAAATATTGAAAACCCCAATGCCTTGTATACTCAGCAATAATGTGGAGTAGGATGAGAAGGACATGCTGCATCTGCTCTGTTCTGCCCCCCTGTCAGTTCTAGACATAAAAGCTCCCTTTCTCATGAATTGGTGCCCCTTTCTCATGTGCTATAGGTTAGGGAAAAGATGCTTTTTTTTCCCTTTCAGCAGGCTCTTTTTTTTTGTAACTACATGCAGAGGAAGGACTGTCAGGCTTTGGAGACTGAGGGAACTCAGTACTCTTAGTGAATATGCAAGAAGTTCTGAATTCAGAACTGTAAGAGATGTCTGAGTCTGTCCAAGACCCCTTGCTGGGATAAACTTCTGCAGCTCCTGCATACAAAGGGACAGTGGCTGCTCTATGCAGCCAAAAACTGATTTTTTAATATATATATGTGTATAAAACCCCTTTATTTTTATTTTACATAAATCAGGGTAGATGCCAGGAAGCCACTAGTGTGTCAGTAAATGCTGCTTCTGTACAGAAGTTAAAATTGACCTCCCTTTCCATCTGGGTGACTGGATTGTGGATTCCTGCATGACAAAAAACACATGTTGTGTGAACAATTATCTGCTGTTAATAACAGATTGATGCCATTACTAATAACAGAACAAGTATTTTAAGAAATTCTTGTTGTAATTTGTGTACCACAACTACATTCCCTATCAGAACACAGATCTACAGCATCTTTATGTGTACTCAGAGATAATCACAGACCGTAATTGTGCTGTGTGTGCTTTGTTCTTCCTGTTTGCATCTCCTCATGCAACTCTAATTGGATCTTTATAATCCCACACAACCTGCAGTCACTTGGCAGCTCACCTGGACATTTGCAGGCTTGTGCTTCAGTCCTGGCTTGTTCAAGATCCTTTCAATCTGCTCATGGTTGAAGTTGGAGATTCCAATGGCTTTTACCAGGCCAGCATCCACCAGCTCCTCCATGGCCTGGCAGAAAGGGGAGCACAGTCAGCACCAGTGTACAAGACAGGCCCTGAAGGAATTATTCCTTGTGTGGCTTCATTTCCCTTCATGGGCAAGGAAAGACAACTGTTTGGAGCTGCAAAGATTGTCTCTTGGGGGAGAGTGACCTCTGGTGTGTTTGTGTCTTCCATCTCACCAAGGGCTCCTTTCTTGAGATGGCAGAAATTCATTCTCAGTTATTTTCACGTGGGAAATAAGGATAATTAATGATGTGTTCTTGAGCCAGTACCAGAGGGCTGTAGTGCAGGTTGTGGGTATGATCCCAACCTAATTTACTGAAAAGCTACATTGCATATGGGGCAATAAATACATAAGAACTTTGTGGCTGCTGAAGGCAATGAAAGCATGGAAAAGGCTGCCAGCAATACAAAACATGATTTCCCACCATGGCTGAACTTACCTCCCATGTATCTAGAAAATCTGTGTTGCTGGGTATAGCCATGCCTTTGTCATCTGCAGGAAACAGCTCCTCTCCTGCCTGTCAGTGAAAAAAAGTTAAATATTTAAACCATTCTTTTTATTGGTGAGTTAATACCAAGACAACTGAAGACCATGATGGCCTTAGCTACTAGTACAGAAAATATTAATATTTGTCTACATTGTTCCTGGCAATTTTGCCAGCAGTTATTCCTAGTAATAATGATGCAGAATCATTCCTACTAGGAATGTCAAATGTATCTCCCAGACCAAGCAAATGGTGACTCACTAAAACACATACAGATAAACACTTGACTTGTTTATTGTGGAATAAACAAGCTTCCTGTAGTCCTCTACTATTCCTTTAAGGGAGAACTGGAGTAGTTTTTTTTGAAGCATCTGTTAAGGTCCCAGGAACATTTAAGTCAGGTTTAAGCCAAGCCACATCTACTGAAGAAGGTTTTATGTAAACACATGGGTGTCCTGTGAGGGGAGCCTCAGCTTAAGTTGGTGGCAAATCAGAACACCCCAGATGTACAAACTCAGCAATAGAACCCCACATCTCCACATCCAGCGTGCAGCTGTCAGAGTATTATGCCGTGACACTTTTACTCAAGCTCTTTGTTCACATAAAACTAACCATGACAGCTTTGCAAGTGTGACAAACAGTTGACAAGCTCAAGAGCAACAGATAGGATGGAAGCCTTAACCTGTCTGCAGCAGAAAGAAAAAACCAAGACTAGACACAGACTGAGACATCAGATCCTTTGAAGTACATGAAGGATGAGATGTATTTCATGTACTTCTGACATGGATGTCAGAAACTCTCACCTTTTGAAATCCAAGGTCTGTGGAACAACTTTAAGGCTCCTAGAGCAAAATGTCAGCTCAATCTGTACTGTATTATGGACTCAGTGATTAAAGAAAGAAATGGAAGACAGAAACATTCTCTTGTTCTGTGATTCTGGAACATGCAGAGGGAAGAATTTCTGTCAGGCAGCGAAGTACATCCTTCCTTCCCTCAAAGCAGGAAAGCATGATTTAGCCCAAAGTAAAGCAGCATGAGTCAGTCTTGCAGCCAGGGGCCTGACCTTGTTGCTGCCTCTCCGTTATCAGGAGGGCAGAGGACGCTGTGCAGGCAGCGCTCTGGGCACAGATCAGGGCACAGCAGAGCAGGGTGGGCAGCACTGGGGCAGTGCTGGCACAGCAGGCACGGGCTCTTTCTGCAGCAGCAGAGGTGCTGCAAGTGCTCCTGGCACTGCTGAGGAGCTCTCCCAGGAGAGAAAACCAAGGGCCCTGCTGCTACTGTACCTTGAACCCCAGGGGCCAGTGCATGAGGTACAGGTCCAGGTAATCCAGTTTCAGGTCAGCAAGAGTCTTCTGGCAGGCTCCCTTCACCAGAGGCTTCTCATGAAAAGTGGACCACAGCTAGAAAAAAACCAAGGTAGATTGTGACCTCCTGGGTGAAAGCTCTTTCCTGAAGAAGGAAAAAAACCTAGCACACTTTCTGGGACCATTTCTGCCTAACATGTATTTTGAACAGTCCCATGCAAACGGAGAATGTGGAACACGTCTTAAATACAGTGACAAAAAAGAAGATTCTACCAAGTATGGGCCTGAACTATTCTCCTAATTACTCCACATTATAGCACACAGCCTTTCCCCACTACACTGCATTTCCCTTCATGCATATGCAGAGCTTTCCCCTGGGTCCTAGGTCACCTTACCTTGCTGACAACAAAGAGGTCTTCTCTTTTCACAACACCTTCCTTGATTTTCTGCTGGATCCCTTCCCCAATCTCATTCTCATTCTGGTACACATAGGCACAGTCGAAGTGGCGGTACCCGGCATCAATGGCAGCCATCACTGCAGCTTTCACCTGCCCAGCTCCAGACTGGAAAAAGCAGGTTAAGAAGATCCCAAATCAAAGCATACAGGTCATTTCTTAGTTATCTAGCAACTAAAGAAACACATACAATGGAGGTTTAAGTAGAGTTTTTCCATGCCGTGTTCTTAAAGCACTCATCATCTCACAAATGCAGGCTGCTGGGTTTGAAGCCAGCCTCTAGCCATTTATTCTAAGTCCAATCCCAAGCAGGCTCAGCCAACAGCCAGGTAGAGGAGAGCACCCAGCACTGCCAGAGATGGACCTGGGGAAACCAAGTTTTGTGCCAGGGAGCTCTGCAGTGCTTCTTGCTCAATGCTCCTCGCTTCCCAGTGCTGTGTCTAAGAAGAGAAACAGTCAAATGGCCCAGCTGGGAGAATTTTAGTTCTATGGGGAGGGCAGTGGTCTACACCTTAGTCATCCACATCACTTTGGAGTGTTGCACTGTGCTCTAGCCCAGCTTGTCCTGGGGCACATCCACCTGTAATTGGAACTTTTATGTCAGCTGCTTCCTTCAGAGACAGAGGAGGTGTGCAATTCTATGTGTTCTGTACCCTGCAAGGGCGTGTAAGAGCCGTGCACAAGGAAATGTTGGCATATCTTGTTCACACAAATGCAGCAATGTTTGTTTCTAGGCATTGTATAGATCAGTGGTTTTGTAGTCATCGTAACAACAGTGCAAACCTCTTTGTCAGAACTTGCTCAAAACGCATGAATGCTCTTCTAAAGCCATACCTTGTTATCGGATGATTCCCGGGGACCTCGCCCAGATTACACAGCAAGGAAGCAGCAGGGAAGTGCTCCAGTGCAGTGGCACGGGAAGGGGCAGGGAGAGGGGCCCGGGGAGCCGCGGGAGCCTGGTCGGGATAGCAGGGGATGGACGGATGGGTGGATGAATGGATGGATGGATGGATGGATGGATGGATGGATGGATGGATGGATGGATGGTGTCCGCGCATCCCTGGCGGCTACGGGAGGGACAGAGCCGCCGCTTCTCCCAGGCTGGGGACACCCAAGGGTCACCTCTCCCCCACGGCAGGAGGGGGACGTCGGGGACTGAGGGCACGGCGGGGAACGCGGCTTCAAAAGCAGCGCCGGGGCTGTGCCTGCGGAGACCACCGGAGGCACCGGGCATCCCCAGCAGCATCCCGGGCGGGATGGAGGGGATGGCACAGGGGACGTGTCACCGAGCCGAGCTGTCCCCGCTCCCTGCCCACCCCCGAGCGCTCCGGACCCCTCCGCAGGAGGTGGCACCGGGCGCGGACCCCGCCGCTGTGAGAGCGAGCGATCGCTGTCCCCGTTACCTTCCATGTGCCCAGCCCCAGGAGCGGCATGCTGGCCCCGGTGTAGAGCTGCACGCAGGTGGCCATGGCTCCAGCCGGGAATGCTGCCCGGGAGTGCCGCCCGCCGAGCCCTTTAACGATGGCAGAGCCGTGCCCAGCCCGGCCCCGGCCCCGCCCGCCCGGGACAGCCCCGGCCCCGCAGCCCGGGGGACACCGGGCCGGGCCGGGCCGGGCCAGCGCTGCTGCTCCCGCAGTGTGGGCTCGGGGCTCCCTCCGCAGGTGGGATGGTGTTTGTGGTAACAGGAGAAGAGAAGTGGTCTCCGTTGTAGTTATTTTAAAGAAGGGTGTTATTTTTAGTGTTGGGAGAGACTTCTTTTAAAATGTTTTCTGAAAGCTGCTGAAGAATAATAGATGTTGTGTTGAAACTTTGCTGAATGCCTGTGCTTGGAGAATCATTCAGTTGGCAGTATAATAGTGCATTTTTCTCTGTGTGCCTTTCCCACTGCAGATGCCCAGCTGCCTTTGCTCTTTTTCTGCCCTGCTTACCTGAGGGCAGGCAATAGTTTGTCTCTGTAATCCTCCTGTTTTTTGTCAGCACCATCAGCCATCCTCAGCAGGATGTGATGTTTCAGTTTACATCACAAAATAGTTATGCAACACAGTGTTTGCCTTTTACTTTTTATTTCCCCTCTGGATTCCTTCTCTGTAGAGCTGCTCTGAGCACGCTCAGACTCCTGGGGTTTTGTTCGGGGGACAATGAAATCAATGGAAAGATTGTGATATTAGGAGAACAGTGTTAAAGCCAAGCTGTTTGCATGAGAGGCCTGCTGCCATCCTAGCCTGGGGGTTTTTCCCCAATGGTTTTTTAACTGAGAGGTCTCTGTCTTCCAGAAAGGATTTTGGGCAGAAGGTTTCCATTTACTGTAATGTATCCGAGGTCCATTGTCCTGTCTCCCATAACCAAAATGCTCAAGGCAAAAGCACAAGTTTTTTTCACACCTCATTTGAGAACAAAAGCTTCTTTCTTTTTAATCACACACAAAGGCCAAGTTCTTTTTGCATCTGTCATGGGGTAAGGGAACAACAGACAATGTGATAGTGCAAAACTGGATTCACCAAGTTCATCAATGAAGGAAAAGCCTGGCAGAGAGAATGTGACATATGTACTGAAGGAGTCTTGGTACATATGAGCTATGGGTGATAAAGAGACACGAGAATGATACCTGGAAATATTAATGATGTATAATAGTGCGTGCCCCTCATAAAATACTCCAGTGAGTCAGGGTGGCCTCACCTGGGGGACATTCAGCACTCAACCCTGACCTGTGTCAGACTCTGGGCAGTGGCTCAGCACCAACACATGCTCTTACACCTCGTGTCCTCATCATTTTGGATATCTGCATGGGTGTAGTCATGTTTCCCCATAGTCTGTTTTATTGAGGGCTTGTAAAGCTGGATCGATGTCAGCACAGAGCAGTGCACACTTTCACCACAGAGCTTTCCCAGAACTTCCAGTTATTGTTCTCCTGGCACTTTCACACCATATGTACCAAGACTCCTCCCACAATTCCTGTCTGCGCCAAGTGGTCAGTCATGGTTCATTATATCCAGTTGTTTTAACTCCTAATCACAGTAAGTTCTTGATGCTCCTGTGATATTCAGTGTCTCAGCCTTTCTGTCATCTGCCAAGCACCTTTCATCCATGCACTCACACCTACAACCCAGTGATGTACAGTGCAAGTAGCTCAAGCTTGTCCTGTGAATTCACCCACTGCACACTGAGTTAAACACAGTACAGCACGAGCACTAAGTCAGTCAGCATTGGGCCCTAATACTATTAACCTTCACAAAAGATATTTTTTGTTGATCAAGTGAAGTCTCTTGACCACTCAGCTCTCAAGACACAGCTGAAACTCCACATGCCTTTGTGAGAGCCCACAGCTTGTTCTGGTGTGGATGTTAGGGATCAGAACGCAGATGTCCTGCAGGTGCCCCGTGCCTGCCAGCCCAAGGCACACGCGGACACCTGAAGTGCCACACTGTCACAGCACCTCCCAGCTGTGCTAGCACTGCCCAGCCAGGCCCACCTGCACCCTCCACCAGGAGGGAGAGGCTGTGCAGGGGAATCCTTCACTCATTCACATGGTTACAGTGAGCAGAGACCTGTCCCAGTGACCCAGCACAGCCTGAAGGGAGCACGACACTGCTCCAGAGGCAGGCTCTGGGCAGCAGCTCAGCACTAACATCTCCCACTTCCACCAGGCACCCTCTGCTTCTGTGCTGTGCCAGACACCTGCCTAACACTGCTGATCTCCCCTCTCCCCCAGTCTGTTACTCTGGGCTTTTAACAGCCAGATACCAGCACTGGCTACCAACCAAATCAGCCCACAGTGATAGCAATGCAGTTTTCCAGCAGTTTCAGGTGTTGGTCTCCTGTGCTTGTTGACCCACAGTCCATACTAAGGCTCATCCTGTTCAACTGTTCTTTTCAGCATTGCTGTGACAATGCTTGTTATACCAAATTATTCAGCTTTTGATCAAGACAAGATCTCAATGCTCTTGTGACATAATTGAAAATTGAAAAGGGATGATTATTTACAATTACATTGTTAATGCAAGCTTCTTGGTTTGTTATTTTTAACATTAGAATAAAACTTCCAAACCAGCAGTAATTCAAATATTTTTATTTTAGTCAAGAATGAAATTGAACACCAATCTCTGTACAGTTTCAGCCTGTAAAAAAGGAACTGAAATAAGGCCCAGTATGAGTGGCTATTCATCTCTAGGTCTGGACACTTCTCTCATTTATTCTTATTTCCCAGAAAGCTTTGGGCTGTACTCTAGAAGTTAATTTTGTCTTTTACCTTCAGGCAGTGATCATGTGATGATTCAGGATGGATTTTTCTCCTGCACTTACATATCCTTAACCCTGCAGCCTTAAGTGGTGCTGATGCAAGACAGCAGATAAAAATCAATTGCTAGTTCCCTTTCTGTTTTCTCCTTTGCTATTTCAGCCATGCAGAGACACTCATGTAATGAGAATTATCATAGCCCACATTTTGTTCTTCAGAACAACTGTACAATTTCCTTCCACCAAAGAAGAAAGCCCAAAGTCAGTAACACATATCCTGTGCCTTTGCTGGGAAGAGGGATACAGTGTGTCAGCTACATAGTGCACAATTTGAGGCAATGGTAGAAGCTCATTAGACCCTGGGGGCCTGAGAGAGGGCAGGGAAAAAAACATCTTCAGTATTCTGCATTGAAAGGGTACTCCTTGTGATTTTTGCACCTGGAGGAAATCAAAGAGGAAAGATTACTCAAGGCTAAAATAATTGCTATATAGAACAACAGTGGGTGTACAGAGGAGCCTTCAAAAGAGGCTCTGAACTGAGTAACTGCAGAGTGAACTTAAGAGACTTGATAGTATAGAAACAGCCTACAGGACCAACAAGTTCCAGCCTTTTTCTGTAATTCAGGCACTGAACAGTGGTGGGACCATGTTATTTTCTAGATACAGAGTTAAAATTCACACTGCTTACAGAGACAGCAGCAGTTTCTGTGGCCTTGCAGCCAAGAGTTCCTGTCTTGGTGCATACCTGCAAGCAGCTGTGCTTTGTGCTGCACAAGAGATGGTCATTCCCCACCACAACCACCTGTGTAAGAGCTGACATCAATTTATAATACCCCACAGAAAAAAATTATGAAATTAGTTTAAAACTGCCTAGTGCTCGTTTCTCCCATATGGACACAGCCAAAATTATCAACTAGAACTCTCATTTTGGAATTCCAGACATACAAAGTTTCCTGGAGAATGGATTCACAACGAATACACAGCATGACTTATCCTTGCCTTTCAGTCAATAAAGTGGAAGTAGAACAACAGATGCTTCATCCCCAAAATTATTTCAATTTCAAAATATACCCAGTTTGAACAGCTATACCAGTTCCCGTGAGATCAGGATAAAGGTCATTGAAAATGTAAGAGTTTGAAGGACACAAACTGTCACTTACGTGACCATTGGACAGATCCTCCAGTTTCTGTTCAAGCTAAGAAGGGTGGCCATCTCCTCTTTAGTCAGTTCAAAGTCAAACACCTAAAAAGAGAAAACCAGCTGGATTTAACTTCTTTGAACAAATCAAATCAAAACGAAGCAAGATTCACGAGATTAAAGAACAAGTTCATATCAGAAAGGATGCTGGGTACAAGTGATGGATTCATGAAACACAGAAAGGAAAAGAAGTATCTTTGGATTTTCCAGACTCTACTTCCCAGGCAGAGGGAAGAAACAGAAGAACAGGATGTAAAGTGCCTGATAGTTTTATCAGCACACTGTTTCCAACAGCTCTGTCTGTTCTTCACTGTAGTTTTCTCTGTAGCCCTGACTTCCAGGCAGACAAAAAGAGCCCAGCCCTCCTGCTGCAGGAGGCCATGGCAAGGGTGATAAAGGATCACTGCCCAGCCATCCCTGAGGGGCAGCCCCTGCTCACTCCTGATCCCTCACCTGGAAGTTCTCCACAATGCGCTCTGGGGTGACGGATTTGGGAATCGCAATCACATTTCTCTGGATCTGGAAGCGAAGGAGAACCTGCAAAAAGAGACAACTCAATCCCTCCTCCTTTTCCAACAGCTTTTTCCCTGAGCTGTACCCATTTCTGCAGAGCTGCATTTCAAACCATCCCTGGCCCTGCAGTCCAGGCTGCACTGCCTGGAGAGCAGAGAGGGAAGTGCTGGAAGCCCCCATGGAAGGTCTTCTTTCCATTCTGGCTTTGTCAATTCCTTTTCTTAGCATCCAGAGGTTTTGCACTATATACAAGGCTTTCATTTCTTCAAAAGGACTTGAGATGTGACAACTGAAGATGAGTCAAGAAAATGTTCTTGACTGCTGGCCAGAGTTAGTAGCAGGCCACAGAACGGACAGCCTGCACTGCTTTTTAACAAGACAAAAAGGCAGCACTGTTCACAGGTAACACCACAGAGGCTGTTCCCTCTCTTCAGACATAGTTTCCTAAATTGCTGTGTTACAGGAAGGGGTATCCACTGTCTGGCACCTACCCACCTGTGCTGGGGTTTTGTTGTGTTTGGCTGCAATCTCCTTGATCTTGGGGTCATCCAGAAGGGAAGGTGCCTCTGGCTTAGAACTAGACAA